TTTTTCTTCTCAGACTAGATGAGGCACCTCGTTCTCCCGCCTCCTCCTGTAGAGGGCACTTTTTAGAGGCTTTTTTAAACAGTCATCCACTGTGACTCTGGGAGCAACTAGCTCAGCCTGACCTCAGCTCTTGCCTTTTTCCTTTTACATTTTTCTTTTCTTTTCATGATGACAGTGGTGAGGCTCTGCCTCCCCTGGCTGCACGTCCCTGTTGGTTACTTAGAGGAATTTCAGCTCTGGCCTGGATTAGCACAAAACAGAGATTATTTTCCTGGCCAGACCTGCAGAGTTTCAATAGAATGGTGGGTATTGCAGAGACAGATGCTGCATTGGGGACAGGATACCACAAGGTGACTAAATGAATGGCAAAGGTTAATTGTCTCATAGTCTTGCCTTATAAGTGACCCTGGCCATCGTGACCCGACAATTTCGCACATGACAAAAGCGCGCCAAGAAAACCGCAAGGTGGAAATAGCGCCCACAACAGCGCGCCAAGAACAGCGCGCCGACAAAAGCGCGATTAGGGTTAAGGTAAGGGTTAGGGTTAGGTTCAAGGTTAGGGTTATTACGTTGCTTTCGTCTTGTTTGTTGAAGGCGCGCTTTTGTCGGCGCGCTGTTGTCGGCGTGCTGTTGGCGTGCTTTCGACGTCGTGGTTTTCTTGCCGCGCTTTTGTCGTGCGCGCATTTGTCGGCGAACCCCTGCCCATTAGTATTAAAGTTTAGGCTAATTGCCTTCTTTTAAAGTGGAGTGTTTGTGTGTGCACATGCATGTGTGTTACCCTTCATAGCAAAGAGAATGTTTCTTAGGCGGCCTCTGCAAGTGATGCCATGGGCTAATTTTGCTGTTATTATAAGACCAGCCATGACAACAGCAACGTTAATCAGATGTACAGCTTTAGAACTTGAATAAGGGCTAACTAGAGTAAATCTCCCATCTTTCCTTCTTCCTGCACACCTAAACGTGTATCTCCCATCTTTGTTAGTGTTGTCGAATCTATCTTTTCTTCTCTTAGCAGGGAAAACCTGGCTGACCGCATTTTTCACATCCTGGGAGGGGGAGAATGCATGCCTGTCCCTGAATATAATGCAAGCCAAACAAATCAAATGTGGGTCACATTGTGGTTTTGAAGATGCTTCTTACTGGAAGAATCCCTTTCCGGCCCATCCCAGCTGCTGTTAGAACCATCCCATCTGCATAAAACTTACAGATTGCTAATATTTTTCTTCTGTGGTTGCGGAAGAAGGCTTTTTGTAAATATTTAAGTCTGGCTTAACTGGAATGAACTTGTGAGGCCAACATTTCTGCATATTAAGGCCCACCAGCATGTCATGTTATTTCATCAGAGTTGTCCTTCCTGTTGGTTTTTCAGTAGTGGGTTTTGAATTGCTGTTAGAACAAACACAAAGGACTACGCTAACTCTTTTCTACATTGGGTTAAGATACTTTTTTGTGTGTGTGTGTGCAAAATATGAAATATAGTCCTCTGAAGAAGTAGTGTATGTTAATAGTTAAGATGTTGGACTAGATGTAGAGAGACATACTTGGATTCTCTTTCAGTCACTGTCTCTCACTTGAGAACCTGTCTCGTACAGGTTTGTTGGGGTAGGAAAAAATAGGAGGAAGTACTGTATGTACCATCTTGAGCTCCTTTTCTAAAAGGCAGGCTATACATCTGTTGTGGCCCAGCAGGAGCCGTTGGAGCTGCCACCAGACTCCAACAGCGAGGGGCCCTATGAGTCGGATGTGGAGGACCCGGGACAGGGTTCCGACTCCGAGCAGGGCGCAGAGAGGCTGGTTGGCCACTAGGAGACGCCTGAGCCTTGGACCAGTGGGGAGGAGACAAGGGAGTGTGATCCGGATGTCAGCAGTGGGGAGGAGCCAAGGGAGTTGTTCCTGGATGCCTGAGTTAATAGGCGTAAGGAACAGTTGCG